GGCTGACATGTATTGCATTCAGGGAGCACATAACTGACGCTGAGAAGAATAAGTGGAGTGACGAACTCTCGAAATTATACGCCGAAATGGAACATCTGCAATTAGACAAGATTCGTTGTTAATATATTTTACCTTTTTCCATTAATTGTTACTGGGTTGGCTGAAAGGAAATTATAATAACACTAAAACCACGTTCGAAGATCAAATTTAGGGTTAAATTTTGCAAACAGAGCAGGCATTGACTGTAGGCGAGCCTCCTTTCTAATACTCTTTTTTTCCTGATATCCTAACGAGCATGTTTAGGCTCCCGCTCGAGCAGCTTCCATTCTTTACGGCCTTGGTTTCACACCTGACGAACAGAAGAAACCAACCAGGTTAGCTTCTTGGCTATTCAATTTTTGTTTTTATCGTACCAAATGCATTCACACTAAGTTCTTTTGTTTGTAAAATACTTTAATTAACTCAGACGCAGCCTAGTATCGTAGATATAGGTTGTCGGAAAAAGCACCCGCTGTTAAGTATAGCCTAGTATAACTCCTTCAATATCAAATCTTTCCTAATCCACTACCATACTTTTAAATTGGACTTTGGACCAAATTATCATATTGGTTACAAAGACTTGGTGGATAATTTAGTATCACTTTGAGCTCAACGTACTGCATAAACCATCAGGCAAGTTCTCTAGTTTTAACTATTTTTGAACTAATGCTAATATGCTTCAAGCGCTAAGACCACCCACAGCGTTGTGCTTTATTCCTAACGTTGAGGTAAAGTTCCGTTTAAGTTGATCAAGAGGTAGTTCAAGCTAGCTCATTAGAACTGATTATGAAAATTTTGATAAGATTCAGAAATAAAATTGTTATCAACGTCCAAGTATCACAATTTTCTACACACTTTGTATATTGAAAGCTCTTGCGTAATGGTCGCTTTTCTCATAGAAATTATGGATTTTAGGTTGTTGAAGTTTCTTTGTTTTTTTTTCTTCCTCTAGTCTATTCTTATTATAGATTGAAAAGTCCTTTTTTTTCTTGTTCCAGGGAGTTTTCTGGTGGATGGAGAATGCGCGTCGCTTTAGCTCGCGCTCTCTTTGTTAAGCCAGATTTGCTACTCCTTGATGAGCCGACGAACATGTTGGATATGAGGGCAGTTTACTGGCTTGAAGGACATTTGCAGGTAAACCATCATTGTCTGTGCATCACCTTAAAGTTTGCTAATGCATATTGTTTAGCAATGGGAGGGAACTATACTCACAGTTTCCCACGACAGAAAGTTCTTGAATGAAATTTGCACTGATATCGTGCATTTGCATACGAGAAGACTAGATCATTACAAGGGAAATTACAACAATTTTGAAAAGGTTGGTTTTTAACGTGTTGAATTTGTGTTTTACGATACCTTAATT